GCTGGGGGAGGGATCACAATGGTCTAGAATCCTTGGGGGAAAAGTCAGCTGGAGGTTGGCACCAGAATCTGGGACTTGCAGGCAGTGCTCGAGCCAACTGAGCTTGGCTCAGACCTCCAGAGTGGGCTGGGGGCCCTGTCTTCTCTGCCCACCATTTTCATTACTTCTGGAGGCCCCTGGAGTGTTCCCTCAAGCCCAGGCCCAGTTCCCCTTGGGCTGTGCTCCTCCCACGGGCAACACTTCTGCCTTGTTCTCCCTCATGTTTACTCTGCTGCTTGGCAGACTCTAGTGGGATTCAAGGCCCCAAGGAGACAGATGTCCTCCTTCAGGCCCAGAGCCCCAGCTACTCAAAGCCCAAGCTTCCATCACACGCAGAGACGGCTCCATCTCAGGGGCTGTTTGGAGACCCTGGGGGAGGGAGCCTCACCTGCAGAACAGAGCTGATCTCTGAGATCAAGCCTGGGGATCATCCAGCCTCTCAACCTCAGCTGCACGTAGCAACCACCTGTAACTGTTCAAATGTACTAATGCCTGGGCCCCACCTTAAAGGTTCTGTGGGGGAATCGGCCACACGTGGGGCCTGGGCCGCCGAGGCGCAAAGCCCCCCCAGATGATTCTAACGTGTGCAAGGCTGAGAGCCGCTCTCTAGTCCAACCACCTACTTTGTGGATGTGACACCTTCAAGGCCACCCAGCCTTTCAGTGACAATGTCGGCACACGCAACAATGGCAGGAGAAGTCTACAGAGCACGGATTCTGTGCTGTCCGGTTATCTCATCATCACAGCAGCCCTTGGGGTTGTAGGGTTCCTACCGTGCAGATGAAGAGACTGAAGCCTGTACCTTGCTCAGAACCATGCAACTGCTCCCGGACTTTGTCAACAGGTTTGGAAACAGCCAGAATGTTCACGGAACACCATCTGCAGAACAAGAGCGGGATTCCATGCAGGGAACTTCTGTTTGCAGAGTGGAAAGGACCTCACTGCTCTGAGGGGTGGGATACTGGAGCTCTCTCCTTCCTCCTTTCCACCCACCCCCCACCCCAACTCGCCGGGGTGGGAGTATTGGGTGCACCCAGGGTCTCGTGAACTGTGGTATGGGTAAAACTCCCCAGGGAGTTAGTGAAAGCTGTGAGTTTCCTAGCCTTCTCCCAGGAGATTCTGACTCATTAAATCTGGGGTTGGGCCCAGGGAGATGCATTTCTAACAAGCAGCCCAGAGAGTTCAAATGCAGGGATCTGAAGTGTCCTTTGAGGAACACTGGTCTAAGGGCAAATCTTGGGTCTGCATGTGGGCAGGCATGGGCCTGCCGCTGGCTCTGGCTGGGCCATGAGCCTTGGTGTGATCACCCACAAATGGGGGACTCGGACGCCCTTTGGGTGGTCAGGTTCAAAGGCATCATGGATATGAGACCTATGGGTTTCCAGCCAGTGAGAGCCCCTCACTATTGGGCCTTCCATGGGAAGGTCATTCCAAGAAGAAGACAAGACACTGGCAAACTTTCTTTGACCCAGAAAAATCTGAAAGCTTGGGGGAGCCCTGACATCACAGTAAATGCTCACACCTGTAGGCCCACATGTCTGCACAGTCCCAAGATCCAGGTCTTTATCTTGTCTCTTCCTGCCAAGCAAAAAGACATGTAATTTTTATTTTTTTTACAGTAACAGTATGGGGGTAGTTGCCATCATCCCCATTTTAGAGGAGGAAACTGTACTCAGAGAGGTTAAGCATGTTGGCCCAGGGCACACAGGAGTGGGGCACCAGGGTATGAACTTGAATGGTTCTATTTCCAGACCTGGCTGCTTTGGCTCTACCAGCCCGCCTTTCTCAGAGACGCTCTCATCTCCAGTGGGAGAGGGTGAGAGAGCCCCCCCTGGGCTTCCTGGTCCCAGATTGGGTACAGTGGCCTGGCCAACTTTTGGCTGCAAGACCTGATGGGGATGAAGCTCAGCTGCTTTGCAGGGACAGGGGCTGGCGGCCATCCCAGGCCTGGCAGCAGGACTCTGTACGGTTCAACCAGAGGCCACCCATGGGGAGAGCCTTTTTGGAGTTAGCTGGAGCTGAGGGCCACCTGCCACCTTGGCCCTGCTGGCAGAGCAGTGGCCCCTGCCTCTTCCAGGCCCTGGGACAATCCTGCCTGTCCACTCCCAGCACTGTGGTTTTGGAATGAGGGTGCGTGGGGCGTGGGCTTCGGGCTCAGCCTTGCTTTCTGGTCTGGAAGCTAGGGGGAGGGGACACTAGCCAAAGGCTGGTGGTTCCAGGTGTCACGTGTTCTGTGTAGGCCGGAGGGTTCCAGGTGCTAAGGGCAGACAGGAGGGAGGGGTTGGGCTTGCCCTGGCTGTCAGGGAAGGCTTCCTCTAGGAAGTGACAGTTCACCTAAGCCAAGTGAGGGAAGGAGGAAAGGTATCCCAAACCAGAAGCCCAGGGACAAGGAGCTCTGAGCCACGCCCTGGGCTGGGCACCACTGCCAGGCTATGGGGAAGGTCGTTTCTTCCTCCCGGCGCTCACCTCCAGGTACAGGGATGGAGGTCAGGTATGGGATTCCGGCACTGCTGCTGTGACAGGCTCCTGCTGCAGCTGTGGTAACAGGCTCAGGAATCAACAATCACGTGCTGGGGACCAACATTCAGCATCTCACCGAATTGTCACAGCAAATCTGCAAGCTAGATACCCTGGTTCCCGAATGAAAGAGGAAAACAGGGATAGACAGGTCCAATAACTTGTCCAAGGTCACTTGGCCATTAGATGGCTGGATTTGACGTTGAGCCCAGACTCTGATCCGAAGTCTGCGCCCGTTCTTTCACTCACCCCATGGCCCCCCAGCCTTTGTCCGCTGCCCCCTCAACGGAGCGGGAGCCCAGCCGGGGCTGGTGGAGGGAGCATTGTTGCAGGTGACCAGCGTCCCGCTCCTTTGTCCTTTGGATGCAGAGACCAGGCAAGGCTGGGAACTGGGGTTGTCCAGGCAACGGCCCAGCTTCAACCCCAAAGCTGCTGGGGGTGGGGTGGGAAGTTCAGGGCCCTCAAGGGATGTGCTGACAAGGGAGGGGGAGAAAAGTTGGCCCAGTTCTCAGCTGGTGTAAGGAGCTCAGTCCCCTCACGCCCCCTGAGCCCCGCCAGCCAATCCCCTCAGAGGCCCTCCTGGGTCCCCCTCCCCTCCCACCTCCATCCCAAGGGTCCAGATACCCTTTCCCAGGAAGAAAGTCTCACCAAGGTGCCTGGAGGGAAGAGCAGCCCAAACTTCAGTGGGACTATTTACAGCTGTGTGAGTGATTACCATGTGAAAGAAAGAGGCCAGAGGGGCCTGAGGACGCCCTGGCTGTAACTTGGACACCAAAAGACTTGGGAGGGGGTGTATGGGGGAGGCCGGTGGGGTGCACCAAGTTCTGCCCAAGTCTGGGGTGTACCAAGTTCTGCCTCCTTTTCCACGTCGGACTCCTCTTGGGACCCTGATGGGGGTGGCATCATGTCCACCTGGATTGCTCCACTTCCTCTGGGCAACCTTCCGGCGGTGACCTGAGGCCCTGAAGGAATGGGGGTAAAGTTAAGGGAAAGGTAACCTCCCAAGAATCCCAGAGCAGGAGCTGTGGTGGGCGAGGCCCTTGCGGCCTGAACCCGGGATGTGGTGCTGGAAGGAGGTTCCTGATCTTATTCCTGATGCTCGGCAGCACAGCTCACCACCGATCTACTTTTGTTCCCGCTTCCTAGGAAGTAACAAAACCTGTGCGCTGTATTTCCTCCCTGCCCTGCAAGCTCTTTTCTGGACTTTCCAGCATCCCAATCTCTTCCCGGCATTTGTGACTCAGGTTTCCGTCCTGCTGCATTGGTTAGCAGGACTCCCTTCCTGGGCACATGGCTGCCACAACCTGGTTTCCCTTCCGGTGCGAGGTCCTCAGACAGGAGTGGCCCCTTTTATCTGGGGCACCTTCTCCCTCAGGAGCAGGCAGACACCCCACGCCCCACTGGATGGATGACCGGTCCTCGTGGAGCCCTGTGGGCTTTGTGCCTCTGCTCTTCTTCTGGAACAAAGGATGGCACCTCCTCCCTCTTCTGGCCTGCCTGCCACATGGAGCCTGTCCCTGGCTCAGACCCAAGCACGATGGGAGCGGAGCTGCGGAGGAGGGAGGCCGTGGGAACCACTCTCCCAGCCCCGCTGGGGGCGTCGGGACGCTGCAGCTGCCGTGACAGCCAAGGGCAGACGGCAGAGAGAAGGGACCAGTGTTTGCTGGCTTCTGGGGAGGCATCTATTGCCACCAGGGCTGCAAGACTCCTTAGAAATCTGGGCACTTCCAAGTTCACTGAGCAAGGCAAAGCGCTTGGCAACCCGGCAGGACTTTCCTCTTTTTGGTTGTCGCTTGGGGAGGGACAAGGAGCTCTTGGGAGCGCAGAGCTGGGAACTGAGGCAGCTCTGCCCACGTTCTTCGCATTACACCACGCAGCCGGCTGGACCGAGGGGCCTCTCACACGGACAGCAGTCCTGGGCTCCGGGGAGGCAGCCAGCGATTCAGGAAGGGCGGCACAGGTGCCCGCAGGCAGCAGCGGCAACAGCTCCTACCGTGTGCATTCCAGCAATTTCTCAGAGGATCAGACCCAGTAAATCCCTGTGGAGCTACATGCCAAAGGGATTCTTCTTTCTGAATTAGTTTTTGGCAGCTCCCTTGTTTGGGGGTGGGATGAGGTGAAAAAAGTTGGCAAAGAAAGGCAAACTGACATTCATCTTTTTTACGTAGTAGAATCTATAGCAAGGACGTTTCTTACCGCGCTGATTTGACTGGAAATGGTTCTGACTCTTGGTGCCCCAGGGTTAGGGTCCAGCTCCAGGGGACCTGAGTTCCCCGGGAGCTGCTCTGTGCTCCGGGGCTGTCCTCCTGAGTCCTGTTCCCGAAGCTACAGAAATAAGGTTCCACTGGGGAGAAGGGTCCCTTAGAGCTGGGTAGGGGGTGCCCCTTCACCAGGAACCCAGAGTATCCAGGAAGCCTTCACTTCAGGAAGCCCACACAATCACCATCGGGACGTAAAGGACATTTATTAATTATTTTTTTTTGAAAGGGTGGAGGGGGACTTTACAAGGGTCGGAAGCCGCTAACCAGAAAGGAAGATAAATAAAATACAAAGCCAGTACGTTGTGGCAGAATTCCAGAAAACACACTGAAAAAATCTTTACAGTTTAAAACTGCTTCACTTTATACATAATTACAAATTAATATACAGCATCTGGGTTTTAACCCCTTTTTATCTAATAGGATTCAGCACAGAAACGTTCATTTAGCATTTGAGGACAACAAACGAGAGCAGAGGTATAAGGTGCATGGTAATCACCCTCCTGCGTGTCCTCGTGTCCCCTGCGCGCCCGGTGGGGCAACACGCCAGAAACCTCAGGCTAAACCGCGACCGTGGGCCAGCCGACCGGGCAGGCCCCTGTCAGTGCTCTGGAGCTGCTCATCCTGGCAGGTGGTCACAAAAGGCAGAGGCATTCAAGCAGGGTGAACACTGGGGTGAGCAGAGACTGGGCTCAGCCTGGGTGTCCGGAGCAGGCTGTCACCGTCTGCGGCAGGAGAGACTTTAGGCAGCTGGGTCTGCCTGTCTTTAAACCTTAGCAAGATGGAGAACTCACCCAAGGCCTGTCGAGCTTTTGACAAATGAAATCCGATTGGTACATGGAAAGAAGCCTTTGTTTTTTTCCCTCTTATGGCAGCACTAAAAGACTTTTCACTTTAAAACCTGGCCAGCAGGCAGTAGATCCCAAAGCTCCGGTTAACTAGGAATCTTACGCTACATGGAAAGAAAGAAAGAAAATGAAGAACCGAACCAAAACAATCTCTTTGCCCCTTTCCTTGTCTCCGAGGGTCAATCGGAGCAACAGCGCCAGGTGGGGCCGTGACCCCAGGAACACAGGTGTGTGTGCCACACTGTCCCGCTGCAGGAAGGCAAGACACACATCCCTCATCCACTGCCGCCGTGGAATTGGAAGCGTTCTTTCTGGGCTTCCACATTCCAAGTGTGTCCACACCCCTTGGCAGTGTCTGGGGTCCCCTGCAAGCCACCCTCTTCATGGCTGCTGAAACCCACTCACCAGGACCGTCTCTCTCAACGCGCTCCCACCCCAGTCCCTGGGCTTAGCTGTCCTCTGGGCACAACTGGCCCCCCCATCAACGCTGTATCAACAACTGCAGCTCCAAGGCCGATACCAAATCCTTGGGGAGAAAGAACCGGCTATGGAAAAAGAACTTTGTGACCAATGGATGAAATATAAAGCGCTTCTGTGAACGGTACCTTCGGGATGGAGTTCTGGCCCCTAAGGTTATGGTGCTACCTTTATTTTAGGCGGGGCCTAGTTATAAACCCTATACACTAACACCCACTCTCCAAATAAAGGTACGACAAAGCCCAAGGATCTTAAAAATGTGTGCTCACTACTGCTAATACTAGGGGCTTGGGAAGACAACAAATAAGGGAGAATATCAGCAAAGGAACAACTGTTAGTGGTATTACCCTGAGACATGAGAGGAAAACAGGTAAGATTTGTACCTTTCCAAAAAGAAAAGTCTTGATAAGGATTTCTTCCCCACAGACAGCTCTCATGGGGGTAGAGGATGGAATGTTGGCAAAGGCTGAATTATGGCAATCTGCATGTTTTTAACCCTCTCCATTGTCAAAGAAAACAGTTAGCATAGTTGATTGTCTCGAAAGTGAAGCGGACTGTAGGGAGCGGTTAAAGTGCACATGCCACCCCACTGGGATGACGACCACTGAGATGATGGAAGTTTTGAGAGAAGATGCAGCCTCCTTCCAGGCAACTCACGAGATTCTGGAACTCTGGATGGTGTTTCCATCTGTCCCCCAAAACCTAAACACAAGGAAGGCCAGCCATCTGATTTCCGGAGCTTAGAGAAGCACGGCCCCTAGCGTGGGGACACTGTGGAGAACTGAGTCTGAGCTGTCCCGGGAGACAGCCCCTTCTCACATGAAGGACACCTCAGTAACCAGGACAGGCCTCAAGGTCAGAGGAGACCTCAAGGCCATCAGCAAAAGCAGGAGCAGCAACAATCCCAGGTGGTTCCCCAAGCGCAACAGCAAAATTCCCGAGTTCCTTATCAAAGGGGGAGAGAGACAGGACGAAGGCATGGAAAAGCACGGGTCCGGGTAAGTGGTTCTCTCTCTGCACCGCACACTGTTCTGGGGGAGATGCCTTCTGATTCTGATTCTAAACTTGTCCAACCACAAGCTGACCAAAGTATTTTAAGTTAGTGGGGTGCAGGTGAAGGGGAAATCACCATTTTAAAACAACTACCACCGAAAAATCAAGGCAACCGAAACTTCACAACTAGTTGGGAGCAAGCTGAAAGCCACCTATGCAGCTATATACAGAAACTCAGCATCCAGGGTGCTTCTTGTGAAGAGCCTGCGTTAGGGCAAATCCCATCAGCTCCGAGCACTGGTTTCAAGCCCAGAGGCAGGGAGGCCCGGCCTACAGGGACAGAGGAAGGAGGATGCAGGTCCTCATTCAACAGCCCCACCCCTTTCCAGCAGAGCTGTGGGACAGGGACCCACAGAGGTGAACCTGAGCCAGTGACAGGGACAGACGGCTGAGCTCCCTGTGGATCTGAGAAAGGCATGACAGGCTGGCCGTACTCAAGCTGTACGGACTGGTGGCAGGAAGCAACCTAACCTTTTGCTGTTTAGGGTCTCTGTGGCCGGGGGACGGAGTGGGGGGGTAGTACATTAAGGTTCAATAGAAAATCAGCTGGTTCTGCTCAAGGTGTGTTTCTGAAGGGTAAGAAATCTCCATGACAAAACTAGGCAAATGTAGCCCATGGGTGGCAAGTCTCTTAACTCTCAAGCAAGGAAGAAGACATCCCTTGATCAAAGTATGAGGTGAAGGGGCAGGAGGGAAGGAAATGGACCCCTCCCCCAACCTTAATTTTCCTTTGGGCCTTCGAGGCACTTTGACAGACACGGGGGAGTAAGGAAGCAGCACCGGCTGCTTGACTGGACAGTTGAAACCGTTGGGCTGGTGTGTTCACCCTTAAAACACACACACACACATACACACATGCACACAACACACAAATAAATAAAACAAATCTAAGCTAAAAGTTTTAAACCAGACCTCTTTCAAATAAACTGAAAGATAAATATCTCCATCGGCAAGGCCAGCTTGCAATTCATCAACAAGCACCAAGTTACAGATTGTTTTGTTTGTTTCTAAAAAGTATGTTCAAAGACCCATGCTCCTGAGGGGCAAAAGGCAGGAATCAAAGACCACATTTAAAGCACAGAATTTTCCAGGGTTTCCCCTCCTGGGGGGTTAACAAGTGTGGCAGGTGCAGGGGCCTCAGGGAGAAACATCCTGCACCTCCTTGCTGGTGACAAGCCTCAAGGAATACAGATCAAAACACAGTGGGACAAGAAAAACAGAGAAGGAAACGAACAAACAGGCAGCATCTGTGGATTCTTCAAGGGGTAGAGTACAATAACCAACAGGCCTTTCGTTTCTAAAACTTTTGAAAGAAATCAAATTTTGCCAGGTCTCCTGATAGGAGACCTTTCCAAGCCACACCTTCTGGCCAGCTCTTCTCTCAGTCTGTACTGGTGGGAACCGCTTCATATGGGCCTAACACACCCACCTGAACCTGCTTTTCGTCCAGTTGTCTAGTACAGGGTGGGCACGCCCTGGCAGCGGGAGAAGCAGGTGGTCTCTGCGCGGGTGGAGCGCGGATGGGGCCACCCTCTCCCACGGCGACTGCCACGCAGGAGCAGCTTCCCTGGGGGCACACCTCCAGGTCTCAGGAGTACTGCCAGGAGGCCGTGGCCACTGCTGAGTGGCTAGTGACAACCAAAATGTGTCACGCCGTAGGGGTGATGGTGAGGAGGCCTCTCTACTTCGTCTGCGCCCAGAACATGTGGGCACACATCTTGGAAAGCCAATATATGATTTCTTTTAGACTTGATAAAATTAGATACATTTTCTCTTTTCAAAGTGACTGAAACACCAAAATCAAGGTGTTTCAGGATCATCTGCCTTTTAAAGACATCAAGCCTCTCTCACTGGTTCTCACAAATGCTGTCGTCCCTTCTGAAGTGAAATGAGAGATACACGCGAAAAGGGGTGAGGCGTGCATGGGGTGAGTTTACAGGGAGACAGCCTGGGAGGGCGAGTGGGTGAGGCTCTGGGTGCGCGCTCCCTGAGCGGTGGCGGGCAGTGCCCCTCGTGCGGGGCTTGAGCTGCGCCCAGCAGGCATCTGGTATAGACCGTGCAAAGTTCCGGCGCACTCCACATGTATGTGCAGATGGGCTACTGTATGTGTTCAGATGAAGTCCAACCTATCTGCTGTTTGATTTTTGGTTCTGTTCCCCAAAATAAAAGGCAGTAAGAGTTTCAGACCGCATTTGGAAACACTCTTTTAGTCTCTAGGAATTCCTGACATGTCCAAAACCATCGCCTGGACTTCTGGGGCCACTACTCTGGGTGTAACATCCACCACCCAGCAGGGCTGGCCCCAACCCGAGAGGCGTTGGGTTGCCAATCCTGGGCCTCCTTCCCCACCCTGACCCCCAAGACCAGTTGTTCTTCTGGTCCAGGACCTGGGCAGTGCGGGAGGGCTGGGCGCCGCAGGACAGGGGCATCAGTGTAGGAGAGTGCGCGCACAGGACAGCAGGGGTTGGGGCTGTAACCATGGCGTGACAGAAGCGGCTGCCTCGGAGAGGAACGGGCTCAGCAGAAGATCTCCTCCCCCTCTGCGGGTACTTCAGATGCAGGGACATCTGGAGAAAAGGAAACCAAGGCGGAAAAAGAATTTCAGAAAAACTGCTCTTTTCACTGGTAAATTCTGTTCTTTCTTCCCCAAACACAAGTCTTCTGGGATGCAAACAGATGCGGGGCTGGTGGACAATGACATCCGCCAGCCAGGCCTCCAGGTGATGTAGTGCATGAGGTCGTCAGTGATGTCCTCCGTGTCTACAGCTCCTTAAACTTTACAGAAACACTAGGCTTGCTGTTTGTAAATAGGCCTGGAAATAGGGATTTCTCTTCAACCTCCCACACAGAAGGGAGAGGAATCCTAATGAGAAGGACTCAGACCTTGTGCAGTGGGATTTGATAGCACGCCCTGTGGCGGCAGGCAGGTCAGTTAATCCCGAGCTTCAGCTTCCCAGTGTGTCTGGGGGTCAGCAACACCTCTCTCACAGTCACCTGCAGGATTAAAGCAGCCCTCAGAAAATGCTCACCAAGCACCTGTTATTAGTATTACTGGACCAGGCCTAGAAAGGCAGGGAGGACTGCAGCTGCTTCACTGAGGTGAGTTTCAGCTCCTCAGCTGGACAGTAAGTGTGAGAAATGAGCCCGCACTCCCTACTTCGTGCACGTGCCACACAGAGTGGGTTCTGAAATGTTCTTTGAATCTGTGTTCTTAGTGTAAGTTCCAACAGTCCTTTGCGGGCAGAGCAAGTGGGTTCGGTGAGATGTGTATGGTTCAGCTTTTACACACCTGAATGGCAGCCACCTCTTTTTAACCACTCCCGTGCTGCTAAAGCCACCCACTCTTCAGGATCCAGGGACTACACGGCCAGAGGGAGACCTGGTGTGTGTAACTCACCACCGGACTGCGAACGGCTTCCTTTGTTCTTCTTCTTTTTCTCCTTCTTTTCCTTTGGCTTAGCTAACCCAAACAGGCGGGTGGACGTGGACACTGGGGTCTGGCTCTGACCCTCTGGTACTCTGTTTGTCTGGCTGGTGGAGCCCAGTATGTGAAAAGGCCCCTTTTCTTTGTGTGTCCGAGAGATGCTGTTCCTTTTTGGGGACACTGAGAGTTCTGAGTCCAATGACCCTGATTTGGCTATGGAAGGTGCCGGTGGCAAGGGGGTCTCCTCAGGATTCGGAAGGAAGGATGGGATCCTCAGCAGCTTGGTGTGTTGATGTGAAACCTGCACATGGTCAAGAGAAGGGGTCTGACTTGGAGGCCGGCAGCATCCCCAGTGCCTACTCAGTGAACACTACCTGAGGTCACCGGCTGTGTCAGTGGGTCAGCCCCGTGTGCACCCACTGCCTTGGACTCCAGAGAAATGGTAAAAAGATTCTGATCTTCTCAGTTCCATCTCCTCCCTCCCTCAGGTAGTATCTATGGAAGTGCTAAAAACATCATCTGATGCCATTACTATTTTTATTATCAGCAACATGAAGAATTAACAGTAGCTTGGAAGAGGCAGCTTAGAACTCCCACTCCCTGAAGAAGCAGGAAGAGCTGCTTATCCAACGACTGATTTACACAGGGGTGTAGATAATTATTTCAGGGCTAAGAGATTATAAAGGTCTGTTCAGGTTAGAGGGCAGGTGGAGACGTGCTTATACCAAGATCCTAGCCAAAGGTTAAACCAAAGATAGAGATAATCAGTCTAATCTGTGCTCCCGCCGGGCCTTGCAGCCTTCCCTGTGGAAGACATCCTTGTGTCACGAAAAGCACATAGAGCCACTGGCTACTCCCTCCACAGACGTGAAAACCTCTGCAGGAAGCTAAACTGCTCCCTCTGGAAGATGTCAGTTTCCTTTTCTTTCATGATCCAAGGTCAATCGATCAAACAAATGGCAACCTGAGTATCAGCAGACAGGAGGATCTGTGTGCACCCAAGCTTCCCACCTGCCACAGGTGCCCCGTTCCAGAATAACCATAGAACACCACCGAAATAAACTCGGGGGTCAGCGTGCTGCCCACATATGTGATGCTTTCCCATATACGTAGCCGCTGCAGGAAAAGAAAGGTTTCATCCGCAGTAGCGAGACAAATCAGGAATTAAGCAGAGCCCAGATGTCTGAGCATCCCTGAGCAGGAATACCCTCTCTCCATAAGAGGGGCTGCCTTCCATCATTTGCCGGGATGGGCTCCTCCCTGTAGCTGATGCCCACTGACCCCACCATGTGGGTTCTTTCAGGAACTCAGGCGTTACTGCTCTCTGTGAGCCCCAGGCACTGTGCTCCGGGGGGACCTGTGTCCTTGGTGTGCTGTCACCATCCAGCTACAAGTTCCTTTAGCTGGGGACCATTCTGAGAACTTCTGTGGCACAGGGCAGAGGGGTTGCTCCCCAAATCCTGGACGGGTGACTGCCATCCTCAGAGATGCTGAGGCTACTCCAGCCTAAGCGACTGAGGGCTGAGGGAAGTGCCAGGCATCCATTAACTCCCCTAGCCAAATCCCAACCCATCATGCTGAGAGATGCAAAAAGGAGAAAAAGACTCACTTCCTCACCTGCCCCCTGGTGGTGCATAAACAGATCTGTAGAAGCAGCCTTTATATTATCTGCCTACTTTCCTCAGCTGCTCAGAGGGTTCTTGGTTATGCGGGTCGTGACCCGGCCCCCCAGCGCCCCGTACCTGGCCGATGTCACAGTCGGTGGGCCTCTGGCTGAGCCTGTCGGCCTCCCGCTTCAGCTGCTCCTGCTCGCGCTCGAGCTGCCTCTGGGCGGCGCGCAGGCGCTCCAGGTCGCTCTGGTAGGCGACCTTCCTCTGCTGCAGCTCGTCGTGCTCGCGCTCCAGGTCCTGGCGGCCGCGCCGGAGCTCGTCCTCGCGCTGCGCCAGCCGCGCCTCGCGCTCCTGCAGCGCCCTCTCGCGGGACTCCCACTCGCGCTCGCGCCGCCGCTTCTCCTCCAGGTGCTGCGCCTGCTGCCGCTGCAGGTTGGCCAGGTCCTGGCGCTGCTTCTCCAGGCTGCGCTGCTTCTCCTGCTCGATGAGGGAGCTGGGCCGCGACGCCGTCCGCGTGAGCGCCCGCTCGGTCAGCAGCAGCTTCTGGTCCTCGATGTAGCTGTCCTGCTGCAGCACCACCCCCTGCGGGGGAGGCGCACGAGGGGGGACGATGCGCCTCCGCCTGGAGGACGAGGACGCCACCCCAGACTACGGCCCTCCCCTGGTTTCTAAGCTGCTCTGGGAAAATGCTCCAGCATAACCCTGGGCGGCAACCAAGTCACAATGTCAGTGGTGTGGGGGACTCGGATTTGGCAGTCAGCGGCTTTGTATGGGGTGGGGAGTGTGTGTTTGGGAGGTGGGAGGAGGTATGAACTGGACTGGTTAGAAATTGAGGATATTCCCAGAAAGCTGTGTGGGGAGGGTCACCCTACCCAAATACCACACAGAGACATGGAATATGGAAACTTACAATCCTACCAAAGGCCTTCCAGACTGAAACCATGTCCTCTGTGCATGTCAGCACCCCATGTGCTCTGGGGCATGGCTGTCAAGGGTACCTGCAGTCCACCATGTGCTCGTCAAGTCCAGTCTTAGCGGGTCGATGATAATCTAACCACTGCATTCTGGAACCTTTCTCATCATGAGAGCCAGTCTTCTCTAGTCTGAGGGCCCCATTTATCCATAAGAAACCTATAGACCTCAAAGATCCAGGCCAACGAGATACCCTGGTCACCGATTCTCTCGAAACAAGGAAGTGAAGGGATAAGGGAGAAGGGCACATACCTGCAAAGTGCTGAGGAGCTCGTGGAGATGGACGACGCTCTGGATGACGGGCTGCAAAAGGAATCAAAGGACCATCACCTCAGACTCGGAGGCTCAGACCCCAGCACACTGCGTGTCATCCGACAAGAACCCACCCTACCACACAGCAAGGGGCTTGCATTTGAACCAAGTTCTTTCAGACTGAAAGCACCACAGAGAATAAGCCGGTACAAGTAGCCAAGAAAAACAAGATCAAACGAAGTAAGTGTGTATGTAGGAGGGAAGTCAGCACACAGTGAAAGGTATTACAAAGCTCCAATTATTTAAAATGACTGCCACAAAAATGGCAAACACACCAATGTAACAAAACAGAAAGCCCAGAAGCAAACCGCAGCATTAGTATATGATACAAAGAGCATTTCTAGTCAATGGAGAAGGAAAGAATATTCAGTGAATTGTTCTGAAAAAACTGGCTAAATCGTTGGAAAAAATTAAGTTGGGATCCACAGAAAAAACATTCAAATGGATTGAAATGTTAAGTGTAGAAAAGAACTGTAAAAGAGCTGTAAGAAAATGTGAGAATGTTTTCTGATCTTGAAATAGGGAAGGCTTTTCAGAGACAGAAACAATGGAAGAAACCACAGACACACACACACACACACACACACACAATTTCAACTTTTACTATGTAAAAATGTATAATAAAAAGGCAAAGGAAACAGTGAACAGAACAAGGCAAAAGAAACCTTTAATTTAAAAAAGGCTCTCATAGATCGACAAAATAACGAATATTCTAGTAGAAAAACAGGCACAGAACATACACCAGCAATTCACAAAAGAAGAAATACAAATGGCCAATTATATAACATATTAAAAATGATTCAACCTTATTTGAAATCAGAAGAATGCAAAAATAAATAACCACTTGAACTTATCAACAAAATGTCAATTAAAAAATTATTCCCAGTGTTGATGAAAGTATGATGAGAATGGATACTCTTCTACTGACAGGGATGAACGCTGTATAACCTTTATAGAGGGCGGATGACATGCTGAAGAAATAATCAGAGCCCTGCAAAAAAAAGTATGAGGATGCTCTTGACTGCATCATTTAAAAAGCAAAAAAGTAGAGAAAGAACCACTGGAAAGATTAAATAAATTATGGCACATAACATAATAATATGCAGCTGTTAATTAGCATGTTTCTTTTTGGGATTTTTTGTTTGTTTTTTTTTTGCGGTGCGCGGGCCTCTCACTGTTGTGGCCACTCCTGTTGCGGAGCACAGGATCCGGATGCGCAGGCTCCGTGGCATGTGGGATCTTCCCGGACCGGGGCAGGAACCCGTGTCCCCTGCGTTGGCAGGCGGACTCTCAACCACTGTGCCACCAGGGAAGCCCGATTAGCACGTTTTGCACAAATATGCCCTGGGGAAATGCTTTTGGTGTCTTAAGAGAAAAAAAGCAGGATACGAAGCTCCAGGGAGTAGTGAAACAAATTGTATAAAATTATGTTTATGCAACTCGCACTCACACATAAAGTACATGTCCTGTATAAGAAAAGGCTGGAAATATGAACACCAAACATTTAATAGTAGCTATTGCTCAGTGGTACTATGTTTACTTACTTTTTTCCTTTTTTACATTATTGGATGTTTTCCAAATCTTCTACCACAAACATGTATTCCTTTTATAATATTTAAAACACAAAAACTTTATTATCAGGCTTAGCTCTTCTGAGAATACGATTTACCCCTCATTTAAGTTTATTCTTAATTAACAGAGAGAGGGAGAAGTCACAGCAGACCAGCTGACTCTGACTGAGCATCCGTAGTGTATAACCCATGCTGGAATGCCTGAAAACCACTGGTCTTGTACTGTCTCTTATCTGACTCTTCTCACTAAAAATGAGGGGAAAGTTGCCAGGTGAAAAAATCAACTAAGGGCTACTTTTTAAGCAGCGCTAGAGCACAGCAGCCTGTGTGGGAGCAGGCTTACTTCATTCAAGGATGGACACGCTGAAGGGGGTTACGTCAGCGTGTAGACTAACATGCCAACAAACAGAAGACAAAAAACACCCTTCTGTGTTTTAGGGAAAAAAGGAAAGATTTCCTTAATCTGAAATTTCAAAACCAAGCTCCTCAGGGATTTAAGGTATTCCATTAAAAGCAGGAAGAAACACAGAGAACACCCTGAGAGCTACACCCTAGCACCCCACTGTCCTGTGTCCAATTCCAGCCTGCTGACACAGTCACACGCTTGGAGTCAACTAGGTTTGGAGACAGTAGTAACCTTGAGGAGGATTTCTTAAGAGGGACCCAAGGAGATGGAGAAACAGTGAAAGGCGTGGGTTATCCTGCAGGGTCAGCGGAGCTCAGCGGAAGGCCGATGAAAGACTTCCGTGGGGACCCGATCTCTAGCTAGGAGACGACAAGGCTATTTCTAGAGTGACACACACAGAGCGAAAAGCAGTGCTCGGAGAAGAAAACTCAAGCTGAGTTGCAGCATAAGAAATTATTATGCAAAATTTTACCCACAAGTTAATTTGCCACGTTCCAGACTGTGGCTTTGCTGCCAGGCTTGTATTACAGCAAAGGTGGCTACAAATTCTACGCAGTGTGCGCAGATGGAAAGAAATCACCGTGGGAGCTTCATGGCCCACGTTTAGAGAAAGCAAGGGGCTTCTCAAGGACGAGAAGCAGAGGCAGTACTCTGGCAAAAGGGCAAGACGAGGCCCTGGGGCCAGGGAAAGGAAACACAACTGCACAGATCAGCCAGGAGCCAAGCTTGTTCATCATGGCAAAACAGAAATGAGTATTCCTAACCTAGCAATTATAACGAAATCATATTCTTTTAAATAGCTCATAATGTTCTTACCTCACTGTTTCTTTTAAGCATAAATGCCAGGTTAGCATTTCCACCCTATAAAACAAACAAAAAAAGTGCATTTAAAAACAACGAAGACTCTGAGGCAAGAATGATATTCAGCGTGTGTCTGAGTTATGCTGTGACTTCCCGTTTTCGTTCTTTTTTACAGTAGCTTCTCACTGCAGGGCAGTAAAGATTTGAGGCTGAACTGTTACTGAAGCCTTGCAAAGAGTTCAGGTGGGTGTGTGCATTTAAACAAGCCTCTTAATGAAACTGGTCCAGCCACGGCCGCGGCAGAGCTGTGCACGTAGACGTGGTGTCTGGAGACAGGCCCAACGGCCAAGAACGTGGGGCTCTGAATTGTACTGTTTGCTTAAAAACGTGCTTTCCTCTTCAGATAAAACAGGAAATAAAAACGGCAAATTGGGCATCCAAAACAAAATCAAAGTAGGCTAGTTTCAAAGACTATGAATTTAGAGGAAGTGCCAGGGAGGACTTAGGGAGTGTACTTTAGAAAGAAATACCTTTTTCAGACCACTATCCGATTCTGTTCTCCTAAGATCTTGGCCATCATCGCCCTCTTCCTTCTCACCTCCTAAACAAACAAACAAGGTGGGGTTTTTTTGCCGTTGTAAAACAGATTAGCCAATGAAATACTATATACATAGCTTAGGGACAGAGTATTTCTGAATCCTATTAATGCCAATGGCAGCTAAGGGACTGATTATTAATAATTTTACGGATGCAGAAGAACTAGAAGCAGAAAGGAAAAACAAGTGTTATTACCCCCCCTTTGGCTACAGCTTAGCTGAGATCTCAGGAAAACCTCTTTTATTACTGAAAATGAACATGACATTCATAGAGGTTCCTGAGTGTTTTAGCAGCTAGATACTTATTAGGATCTCACTAAAACATTTACTGACTGATTGGGACAGAGGAGACGGAGCTCCCAGAGTACAGATCATTTTTAGTTGTGATAGTTAAGGATTGCCCATAAGAACACATGAGTTCAAAACCACTGACCTTTTGAAGCATTCATCTGATGGCTGTCAAATCCTCCAAAGGTCTCTGCTCTCCGGGGCAAGGAAACGGGGCCTACCATGCCTTCTTGTTCAACAGGGCTGCTGACAGCCTGCCCAAGTGTGCCTCCCAGGCTTCCACTCACCAAGCCCTGAAGGATCTCCACTGGAAGAAAGGAAACATGCAAAACTGACATCTCCTCTTTTAATGGGAAAAAGAAAATCTCATGGAAATACACTATATGTAAAGGGAAGAGGAACAGAAAATTCCAAAGTGACTACGTGACTTCCTTTGCTGAGAGAAAGCTCTCAGCTCAGGATACATGCATTAGATGGATTCTACTGGAAATGCAGAGATTAACTCTTCAGCCTTATTCACATGAGACCTAGGAGATTTAAAAGGGTACAGGGAAGGCAGAGTAATTTACTGGAAGGAGCATGGCTCCGGGAGTCAGATCCAAAGCAGCCAAAAGGAATTCCCTAGGAAGTAAGGTGAGGCAATTTGAGAACTGCAGTTCAAACTGGCAGGCTTTTTGCCCCTCCCATAGGGAGGTCAAGGGGCTAGAGCAGTCTCAGCATCTGAATTCTCAAATCCAACCAGCTAGGGTTCCCTTCTAGAGCAGCAGTGTCCCACAGAAAGGAGAACGTGCTGACAATGGAATAAAAATTGAGCAGGAGAGAAGCAACAGAGATAAAGGAAAAAGAAGGTCCAGATGGAATAAGGGAGGAAACAGAGGCAGGGAATCTCCTAAGACAAGCCATTGTTATTTTCTAAAAACACTACATGAAAACAATAGAAGAGTCCGATGAAGCGAAAGATGCTATCTTAGCCTAAAAATGTAGGAAATGTATTTCACACAAAAATGAGCAACAGAACAACATCAAAGTCAAATCCCACACAAAGTTCGGGAAAGGCAGAGAGAGAGAAAGAACAAGGGGCATAACTTCCCTACATATAATAAAAGCACATCAGAAGGACATGTCCATAAAGTAAGTGAGCTAATAAAATAAAGACAATGACACAAGACATGAAAGAACCTAAGTCAGAATCAGAAAACACAGAAAGGAGGTGGCAAAACTCAAGTGGAAATGAAAGGAAAAAAGGTATCCCTTTAAGAAATGGAAACTGAACTAGAATATGAGAACAAATAAACCCAAAAGAAAATGACTTAAGATAATAGATGGTGAAAGGATATTTAAACATTAAAAAGATGAAGCTATAAAAAGTACTATGGGAAGCAAGAAGTATTGAAGACAGGCAAAGATGATCCAACATGTGGATAGTGGGAGTTCTTGAAGAAGAAAATCAAAGCAAGGGTGTAGGAAAAATACTAAAAACTATAAGAATACATCTCTGAAATCTGAAAAATCTGAAACTATATGTCAAAATTGAACACTGTGAACCCGAGAACATCATTCCAGGATAACCAGCACCAAGGCATATTCTAGTAAAACTACTCGGATTTAGGGGGAAAAAATCCTTTGGGCGTCTAGGCAAAGAGCACGTGACTTACATGGGGAAAATCAAATTACGGTCAGACTCTGCCAGCGATGCTTTACGTCAGAAAAAAATAAATAAATATTTGAGAATTAAGACACTCAGAGGAAGAGAACGTGAACCAAGGATTTTATACCCAGCAGAACAGATTTTCAAGTATAAAGGGCACAAATTATTACCGATATGCAAGGACTCGGTATATTATCCTCATGAACCTCTCCTGAGACATCTACTAAAGAATAAGCTTTAGACATCCAAAATGACTGGAGAGACACTGATAAAAACTGGTGGTGGTTCTTGCAGAATGAAGACTACAGTTCGGGTCTAAGAAGGGGAGAGTGCCATATACAGTGGTTGTAAGCTGACAGTACAGACAGAGTACAACTGGTAAATAAAAAAGGGGGGAGGGAATGGGGATAGCATAAAAGAGTCATATTTAGCGATAGTAGTGTTAGTATTGTTATTCTGATGTGTATGTTAAGGTAAATACAGGATGTTTTATTTCTACGATGTATCCTTGAGAATGAGGATTCACAATGTGGAAGAAAATTCACACATTAAATATGTGTGAATTCATTAGGCCATCCCCTCATGCACACACACAAGGATATTTCCCCCAAAGCGGCCCACTGAAAAGGCCCAACCTAGTAACAATGAAAATCCCAGCAGCAATAACCACCCCAAGCGCCTAAACAGTGGTCTTGAAATACCACTTCCCACTAAAAGAAACCAGAGCTTCTCAGAAACATGGCTAATTCCAGGTATGGGCAGAAAACAAGATGAGCCTGGAACATCTTAACATACCAAACAGCAAAGCAGCTCTCAAAGACTGCTGGGGTCACGCGAAAAGGACTCAGAGGCCCCACAAAGAGGTGCTCCTTGGCAAAGAGAGGACCTTTTTAACTTTTAATAAGGATAAGAACTGCAACAACTTGAAGCGCATCAGACATATTTAATTCATGAGTCTATAATAATATATTAAAAGTACCGGTCACTTTCAGAGAATGACCGTAATCAATTCACTACTTTGAAAACTGGTAAATAATGGGGGAGAAAAAAACCAAGCATTTATCCTTTTATCTTGTTTTCCCTATATGTTACAACTAGACATTTTGTGCCCCCAGAGGAAAGCGCACAACACTCCGGTAACACAGCTTTTGCCAAAGGGATTATGTCTGAGCAACTGAGCCCCCGAGTCCAGCAGAGAATCTAAAGGAAACGGAGGGCAGAAGAACAGAACCCCTGTGTGAATAAAACCCAAAAAGAGAAACCCACAGGTCAAAGCTCAAGGATAAATTGTGTGGAAAAGAAAGGGATGGTGGGGTGGGTGGAGGACTGTAAATAAAGAATCCTAAAAGGCATATCAAAAACCATGAATACAACTGAGCCACAGGGTCTATGAACAGGCACTTGGCCATAAAACCATAAAGAAACCTAAGCGATTACTGTAAAAGTCACAATATACTTTCAGGAGGGAGGGAGAGAGCTCTGATGGGGACAGGACATGTGGAAGGGCTTTAAGGGGTCTGGCCACATTTTATTTCTCGACCTGGGTAGTAGTTACAAGGATGCCCACCTGATAATAATTTACTAAAGCGAAATATGTATTGGGTTGTTTTCTGTATTTGTGATTTATTTTACAATAAAAAAGTACAAACTGGTAGATAATATTAGTGTGTAAACCACTGTGGGAGGAGACAAAGAGGGGGGCAATGCTGAATGTAAATTACCCTCATTTATGGCACTTTTCATTAAAGGCCCTCCTTTGAGAGCCTCTTCTGTGTTGGATCGGAAGAGGATTCTAGAGCTTTGAGTTGGGGAGCCATCCTCTGGCAAGGGAGTGCTGCACTCAGTCATGGCCCGGAAAATCATCTCCTTCTCTTCCAGTAAGAGTAGGATCTGCTGGTCCTTTTGCTGAAGTTGTTCTGCAGGTGCACAGAGAAGAGATCTGGTGACTTGACTGTTCACTATGATGAGATGACTAAGACATGACCACCACCTTGTGGTAACGCATGGAACCACAAGGAACACAGCTTCCCCCACTTTCTTTTTCATCATGAAGGCAGTATCAAGCTTTTGATCTGTAATGTCTACCTGGAAAACTATCCTGGGTCTTTCTATGCAAATGCCAGAATTTCTGACATAACGAACTTGCACTCTGTTCCATTCTCCTGCCTGCTGTTTATTTCTCAACCCACACACTCTTCTCTGGCTTCCGCCCATCACTCTGCATCTGCTCTTTCCAAGGTTACCCTTCACTACTGAATCCAGTGAAGCCTTTCATTTCATCTTTTCCAGCATGGATGACTTCCCCCATTTAAAACTGTTTCCCGGACTTCCCTGGTGGCGCAGTGGTTAAGAATCTGCCTGCCAATGCAGGGAACACGGGTTTGAGCCCTGGTCCGGGAAGATCCCACATGCCGTGGAGCAGCTAAGCCCGTGTGCCACAACTGCTGAGCCCGCGCTCTACAGCCTGCGAGCCACAACTACTGAAGCCTGCGTGCGCCTAGAGCCTGTACTCCGCAACAAAAGAAGCCACCGCAAGGAGAAGCCCCCAGTAGCCGCAACTAGAGAAAGCCTGCGTACAGCAACGAGGACCCAAGGCAGCCCAAAATGAATGAATGAATGAATGAATGAATGAATGAATGAATGAATAAAATAAAATAAAACTGTTTCCCTCCCCATCTGCTTTTGAGGTTGCTGCTGGTTCTCTTCCTACCACTCTTACTCCAGCACTTTACAGACCAGACCTGCCACCTGCCATGAATGAGTATCTGGGCTTCCCCCACCCCCCAGCCCTGGGCTCCATCCTAGACTCCTTTCTATACTTTACATGCTTTCCTCTCGGGGACCTCAGTCACTCCCATGGCTTCAATTACCTCTTATGTGCTGATAACTCACAAAAGGCACCCCAAATCCTACCCACTTTTTGAGCACCAGACCGCTGAGTCCCACTGTCAGGCGGCTCTCTCCACCTAGACGCCTTGTTCTCCGCACGTCAGAAACCTCTGTTCTCCCTTCTTGCCACCCCGCCTCCTCCCTGTAGCCTGTGGCCTCTTCCTCAGGCAACAACACTGTCATCCCCCAGTTGCCCAGCTGGAAACCTGGGAGCGGTTTTGTCTCCTCACTCTGTCCCACCACCCACAGTGGTTCCTTATTTCTTACTCACGTCCATCCCCGCTCCAGGCCATTTCTCACCAAACTTATCCCAAGAGTCCCCCAACTGGCCTTTCCACTCCCAGTGGGCTCCCCCAGTCCCCCAAGCAATTCTCCCAACTGGTGTCAATACCAATTAAAAAAATTTAAGTTTAAATTTTGCTAAAGAAATTGTATCATTCCCTTTGTTGCCTTTCAAGGTGTGGTGGCTTCCTGGCTTACTCTCCCATCACTCAGCCCTTACTCTCCAGACATACCAAACCTTCATTCCTTGGCAGACATGTCAAGTCCTTTTTCACTTTTCACCTAACTATTCTTCATCTGGTGAGGTAATTTCTTTCAGATGTAGCTCCTGTGTCATCTTCTCTGTGAGACTCACCACAGGCAGGATTCGTGGGTCCTACACACTTTACATGTGCCTGTGGTCTAGGTGGCCTGTCATTTATGTAGATCTCCCTTGCCAGAGTGTGGGTTTCCTGATGGCAGGGACAGTGTTTTAGGGCTCGTTGCATCCCTAGCACCTAGCGTTATGCCTGGCCAGGTGCTTCATACATGTGAAAAGAAGGCAGTTCTTATCTCTGCCATCCTAATCACGGGCAGAGATTAAAAAATGTGATACTGGCTCCAGTCTAAATCCGTCCATCTCTTTTTTTGTTTTTCTCCCCATTGAAACAGAATGAAGCAATAAGTAAACTCCTTGGGTGCCTATATTTCCTTGACTCTGGGCCTTACTTCTACCCAAAGCACAACACGTATTTACTTCAGAACACTCAGCAAGCACCGGCAAAGGGGCACGAGCACTGCGCCCTGCAGCTGAGCAGACAGGGAGCACAGCCCTGGCTCTGCCATGAACTGTGTGTGTGTGACCCTGGGTTGCTTGGCCTTCATGGGCCTCAGCTTTCTCACCTACACAGTGGGGATTACAATACAGGTCTTGCAGGGATGCCAACAAGACTACGTGAAACAGTAGGGCCTTGACAGAGCGTGGTCAAACATAACCCATAAGCACACTTCTCCCCAAACCACCTCATGATGGATTTGGAACGCAGGGCACAGTGGCGGGGGTGACTGACAAATGGATCAACTGGAAAATTCTTTCCCGCAAGTACCTTTCTCTCCTTGTTTTAATCTTAGATGTGACCATGAGTTCTGGCAGATTCTTCTGTGACAAAGTACAAAGACTGTCACCAGGGTCCAAGGACACTGATACCGAGACGAGAGAGCCAATATCCCCTCGATCTAGTATCAGACACATTCCTACAGCCATTGTTCCCCAGGACCTGTGCCAGCTCAGATCTGGTTTCTCTTCTGTTAGGAGCTATTCCTCTCCTCGGCTGACATCCCTGCCAGCATGGCTCTGGGATGGAGGTGCAGCGGGGACTCTACGGGACTGCAGACGCCCCCAGACAGGGCCTCAGACCGCTTCCACCAGCTTTACCTTTTAACTCCCGAGCTTTGATGTCCAACATCTTCTTTTCTTCCTCATTCTCACTAGGAATTCCTTCATCTTCATCTCTGTTCCTAATACAACCATAACAAAACAGCACATTCTGAAGATGTCAATTAGTCTGACGGCGGCCCAACCGTTATGAAACCACAGAGGTACCAGGAGGCGGGGGTGGGCCAGGGTGTGTGACTCACAGGGTGCTGATCGTGTCCTGGATGATCTGAATCCAGCTGTTCCGCTCCTCTTTGGAGCTGGCGTGGACTTCCACCATCTCTGGAACTTTCATCCCCATACTGATTAGGAATAAACCTTTCTCCTCGTGTGCTACCTCTCTTACAATCAGCTTCTTTAGAGAGATCACCGTCGACTTCTGGTCCTGGAAAATGGGGAGAGCGCAGATGTTAAGACATGGATACAACAGTCTAGCTCTTCAGACAACCTCCGTCTAAGGTAAGACTAGATGCCTTTTAAAAGCATATGGCTCACTCACATTTTATCCAACAGAAAAAGATTTCCAAAAAGGAAACGAAAATTTAAGGTTATCAAGGTTCGAGTCCTGTTTTCTGCATGATGAGTCCTTTCCGGTTTGTCACAGAATCTGGTTGGCAATGTGATAAATTGGCAAGATTTGTAATACGTAATGTGTGAGACATACTCCAGTGACAGATTTCTTTTTAGATCAAATTCCAAAGGCTCTCAAAAGGATTATGAGGGAACAGAAAAATAATTGGTGGGGAGGGAGGCGGGCAGAAAATTGCAAGGGTATATAAGGAATGACTCGGAGGCATTGGTCCTGAGCCAATTTTAAGAAGGTGGGAGAGCAGTAATACAGTGTTAACACTCAACACCTACCATCACCGGTTTGAATACTGTTCATTACAAACAGCACACAAACAGTTCAGCTTACCAATGACGCAAAGACGTATTTCTGGTCTTTTTCTTGAAGGAAAACTAAAATGTCAGTAAGCAGGACCGCTTGAACCTCTGTAGAGGGGGGAAGGGAAGAGAGAACAATGACCACTGAACGGTGAAGCACCTTCAGGGCACTTCATTAGAGGAAAACTCAGCAACACACCCGCACAGCACATTATTACACTCCTCCAAGGCAAGGGCTTGACATTTCTGCAGGGTCCACATATGGTCATTAGATTGTTAGAGGCATTTTAAAATGGGGTCTATCACCAAAGCCTTGCCTTGGGAAGGCTTAAGCACTCAGTGCTGGAAAGATATATCCCACAAGGCAAGATTTTTAAGAATAAATAAGAGTAAAGCTGGAAAGCAGGACTTTAACAGATGCTAAATAGCAACACAGTCTACAGGTCATAATACTCAGGTCATAGTATTTCTCAACTTCTGATCATACTAATGGGAAAAAGGCGTGGGACAGCAGACAGGAAGGCGGCCAGAAGGTGATGTACAAGAATATCTCAGTCTAATGAAAGGCAGGCTTCATCCACACGTCCTAGAGGACACGGATGGCTAGACAACACCCACTGCCGTCACAGGTACACGAAGTGCAGTGGCTCCGCTCCCAGCTCCAACACAGCACAGTCAACCTCAACCCCTCTGCACCGTGGACACAGCCTTCTCTTCTTCTCAATTAAGACAAAACAAAAGCCAAATTACCATCTCTAGCTGGATCCAGGAATCAAAAAATGCCACAATCTCTTGTTCTAACCCTCTAGGAGTATGAAGTGACATTTCCCATTATTCCCTTAAGGACAAAGTGGGACCTCCCTGGAGGTGAGCCGTCTACTGAGACCTAACAGGTCCCTCTGTACCGCCTTCACTCTGGAAAGGGGAGCCTACAAATCTCTGGGAAAACAACGGGCTGACTTATGCAGCCGCCTCCTGGGTGGGCAGGACCCTCTTGGCCTTTCCTACCACTACTGCCAAAACTGGGGTACCTCCTCTGTGTAATTCATTGCAAAGCTATGCGGGAAAACAGAAGCAAGGATGTCTGATTCCTATGGTGGTCTAGTTTTTCAGCCTAGACCACAGTAATTTTCCACGCACTACCATTCGTTTCGACAAGGTTTTTTTTTTTTTTTTAACTTTACTTTTAAATAGTTCAGGTGTCTGCTAAAAAAAAAAAAAAAAAAGAGCTCTAAAACATAAGTTTCAACTTTATTGAATCCTGAAGTTTACGTGATCACGGCGTCAGTAGATCAGAGAAAAACAATCCTACCCCTTTCAAGGGTTACCCAACACAGGACTGGCTGTTCTTGGCACAAGTCATTTTCACTTGGGGGTGAAAATGACTAAACACCAAACTCTTATCTCCACTGGAGACATTTTAGGCCAGAAAACCTATCATTCTGCCATTGCTTTGACCGCAACATTATTCCAACAGCTGGAATCTATTAGTTTTTATTTTGGGAATGAATAAATAAACTGCTGTGCAAAGAAAATACAGCACTGGCAGCAACTCTAGGAAATCCATCCTTACAAGAGAGGGCAGGTACTTCTCTACCACCAGGCTACCTCCGACACGGCCTCACAGTGGCGGTGAGGCCAGAGCCCTCAAGTGTGGTCTCAGGACATCACAGAGCATCAGGGCTGGAAGGAAGGAGCTGCAGGGATCGCACGGTTCAAGTTCATCATGGAGCAGTGAGAGGCACAGCTGGCTGGTGGCAGGAAGGGGTATTTCTTCTCTCTGAGATGACCCTGCCCGGAGAAGCCCCTCCCGGATCCCTGCGACAATGACCGCCCTCGTCTCGGTCACTGGTACCTCCGCACCCCTGCTGTCCTCTACCCTGCCCCCAGCAGCTGAACTACACACACGCTAACTCACTCACCCCTTTCCTGCTCAAACCCTCCATTCTGAGCCCATTCTTCGCTCACTCCCATTACCAGCATCCCTGTCAGCCCCCTAGTCTGGAGCACGCACCCACCCCAACCTGGCGCCTGGCCGATTCTCCAGCCGTATTTCCTGCCTCACTCTGCTGCCAGAGACCCCGATTGCCCACCCCTCCCCATGGGCCAGATCCTTCAGCTCCACGCTTCCACGCTTACTCCTCCCTTCTGCCTGGCTCCCTCCTCTTGTCCTCAGTTCACACCTCTCTATTCTAGCAACCATCATACTGCGGAGCAAGAACCTCTTTACGAGTCTCTTCATTCTGAGCCCAAATTCTAATGCAGGGTGTCCTGCGACATTCACCTTTGAGAGCAGCTGAATGCCTGGGATGTCGTTACTATGTGCTCTGAGCATGCTGAGACCCTAGCTAAGGAGTCCTGGGAATTCTCCGAGAGCAGCCACCTATAGCATTACTTATACCTCGGCGATGAGAGAAGCACACATTTCACTCACCTGAGTCTTATGTCAGCGGGGCTGACGGCACTGGGCTACTTTGTGTGCTCAGCTCACCGAGCCCAGGGAGGTGGGCTGGGTATACTCAAGGCTACTGGTGAGGTTAGAGTTACCATATAGGCCCAGAGGATACAGGTCTGACGAAAACAATTATTAAAAAGAAACAAACAAACAAACCAGATGTACAGATGAATGAACAAACCTCCTAACTTCTTTCACTTGATGGGGCTGATCATTTAAAAGGTAAAAACTAAAATCAAACAGAAAGGGAGTATCTTTTATGATCTCCTTTGCTTAGAGAAAGATAAAAGATGAAAAACAAAGTTTAATAATAAATCTAGTTGCTGTGAGTTAAACTTTCATTTCTCTAAGGTCTCAGGAGCTGAAAATTCCTCTGCCATCTCTTAGAAACGAGTGATGTATTTTTAATCGCAGAGAATCTATGAATTGTGCAACTGATGGTATTTCCCTCCTAGCAATTGTTTTGCCAGAAACCCTGACCCCAAATTTGTTGCCCCTCTTTCATAGGGAAAATATGTCTCCCTTAACACCTTGCTTTTTTGTATGAATCTTACCCTTTGCTTTGTTCTTTAAAAAAAATTGTTTTTATCCTTTCCCCTGACTGCATCATTTCCTCCTCCTCTTACTGTATTCTATATGGTTTTGTAAGCCATCTCAAACCAGTCTTTTCTGATACAAGATTAAGATCAATTAAATGCCTGCTGCTCCTGTGTGACGTCTGGACATGGGTCCCTGGGAACAACCTGGTGACATCTGGATTCTGCCCGCTGCCCTCTGGCACACGCTTAGACTCTGACGAGAGTGAGCCTCACCTTTCAACCTCCCTGTCGTGCTCTTCAGAAACACGCTCCCATCCCGCACGAGCTTCTTCCGCTTCAGATCCTCCTTGGCAAACATCTGACCGCTCTTCATTCTCATGATCGACTTGCTATCTGTCTTTGTATAAATCTCATTGAGACGGACCTTCTTTTCATAACTCGCCACTTTGCTGTCCACAGCTCCAATCACACCCTTCACCAGGCCCAGGGACTGAGCTAGATCTTCCTGTTCCACTTCACTCTCTGAGAAGGAAAGAATAACTGTTTCTACTGGGCAGAAGGAGGGGCACCCTGCCTTCTATTTTTTGGTTTTGCGGTAGGCGGGCTTCTCACCGCTGTGGCCTCTCCCGCTGCGCGGGCTCAGCGGCTATGGCTCACGGGCCCGGCCGCTCCGCGGCTTGTGGGATCTTCCCGGACCGGGGCACGAACCCACGTCCCCTGCATCGACAGGCGGACTCCCAACCACTGCGCCACCAGGGGAGCCCCAGGACCCTGCCTTCTTGCTCCACATCACTGTCTTCCCTCTGAGGGCACGCTGGCAGAGCGAAGCCAACACGTCGAAGGGCACGTGCCTACCCCTCGCTCTGTCAGAGTTTAAATCAAGTTACATGTTTCACTGATAGAGACGACATGCAATTATGGGCCACGTTCTAAAGTGGAAGGAACCCAACATTTTTAGGGAGGGAGAGGAGCAATGAGTTTTTTATTTACATCTTTGTTTTACCTAATCCTTAATGTAACTGCACAGGAGCAGGATTAGGTAAGAGAGAAACTACTAAGTAGTGATTAAACGAGAAACAGTGGTGATTCTAGCACTTGCAGGTGGGAATCACCTCCCAGTCTAGGGACAAGTGACAAGTTGCTCAGGTCACTGAACTCTCGTTGGGATCACTAAGTGGTTCCTTCCCTTCTTGCTCTCATTCACCCTAAGTCTGCTGATATAACACTTTATGATGTGTTTCACTGAAGAAAACCGTCTTTAAGATAAAACACAGGGTCTCTTTTAGACCCTCTCGACGTAGAAGAGTTCTTCTACGGGGTCTCCAGTGCTGTTGGACAGACTGGAACAGTCCACTGGCAAATGAGACCGAGTCCAGAAAAAGACGCACCTTTGGTACATTGCAATATTCTTTGGAACAAAACCGGGTATTTGGTGATCCGTTGGGTTACAAGCAATATACACTCTGGGATTCCAAGCCTCCGTACGACTGAACTGCTCATCTTCTTCTGCAAGGAAGGAAACCAAGTGTCAGGAACTACCCAAGGGAGAAGGCTCGAGCTAAAACTGACAGTGACACAATGCTCTGGAGAACATGGAAATCCCCACCGTTTCACATCAATACCTTCACAAAGGCCTGAAAACGCTTATCCTTGGTATAGAGGTCTTTGAAGTAGTTTACAGACTGGTTGTGCTGCCCACAAAACTTGCCATATGTCTTCTTTAAGCGTTCTGCGTTCTCTCCTGAAAACTGCAGAGGAAAGAGAACATAGGTTATGCCGTAACTCAGGGTGTTAAACTCCTATTACCATTTTGTCCAAAGTTTCCAGTCTACTTGTGAAACCCAAGAGAGCTTCCTCATAACTTCCCCCCAAAGATTAAAAGATTAAAATGGTACAGGAGCTTTGGAAAAAAGTTTAGCAGTTCCTCAAAAAGTTAAACAGAGTTACCATATGACCCAGCAATTCCACTCCTAGACATAAAAACATATGTCCACACAAAAACCTGTATATGAATGTTCATAGCAGCATTATTCACAACAGCCCCAGAGTGGAAATACCCCAAGTGTTCATCAGAGGATAAATGGATAACGTATGAATGAAAAAAGCCAATCACAAAGGACAACATACTGCTTTATTCCATTTATATAAAATGTGCAGAATAGGCAAACCCACAGAGAAAGTAGATTAGTGGTTGCCTAGGGCTGGGGAAGTTGGTGGGGGTGATGATGATAAAAACGTTCTACAACGGACCGTGGCCATGGCTGCACAAGAGTCACGGATATACTGAAAACCACTGAACTGTGCACTTTAAATGGGTGGATCACATGGCATATGAATTATATTTCAATAAAGCTGTTACATATATTTAAAAAATAATAAACACAGAAATATCTATGTACTGTGCACATAAGAAATGCAACATGTGTTTTAACTCCCATTTGTCATAACACAGTAATAAAACAGAGAGACTCACGAGAAGTCTCTCATGAGGTAGCAGCCTCAAAGAAGTCATCCTGATAAGTTAGAAAGGCATCAGAAACGGCCGTCATTACCTAGGGACCTGTTTATCCTACTTACCTCAGGCCAGCAGGCCTAACAATTCTGCTTGGCCCTTACATCGTTTCCAAGCGTGTGCCATCTCAACCGTTCATCTGAAGCTACGTTCACTGTGGGGTAACCTCTGAGTTTCTGTATGTGGTCCACAAGACACGTGCTAAGCATCAATTCCTGCTGGACTAACAGTCTCTGGAGGCAACACAACTTGATCCTTACCCCAAAACTTGAAAAAACATTCAGGGTAGCCTTTCCTTTTCCCCTTTACCAACAGAGAAGCTGAGGCAGAGAGATTTTTAAGTGATCGGCTCCCATCGCAAAGCAAGTGCCCTAAAAGGGTGACTCTGGCACTGGCGCTCAGAAACAACAAATGGACACCATGGGGCTAACATCCTACTAGAGGACATGCACAAATACAAGGAGCTACAAGGTCAGAGGAAGTACCAGTGCAGGTCTGAGGGTGGAGAGGAGGGGCAGAGGGAGAAACATGGAAAATGACAGGAGGAGGATGTTTGGGGAGGAAGGGTCCTCCCTTGCAGAGCTGACCGTGCCCACTTTGATGCCCTGACCACCAGTGTGAACGCATTCACTACACTGCATCTGCATTTACTTCACGACGTGCCTATCCTTCACTCCTAGAACATGAGTTCCATGAAGCAGAGGTCTACATTATATTTACCTTTGTGGTTCCACATGGTATTGAGTAAATCCCCAGTAAATACTTGAAAAATGAATGAATGAAGGCACCAATGAATTAATAGGGCGAGGGGTACAGACTCAAGAATACAACGAAAGGACAGTATTTCCAGTTCTCAGGCAAATGTTCCAGCAAGTAAGCCTCTGCTTCCACAATGAGGCAGAGACTTGCCGGTGAGAAAGAGCTAGTCAGATGTGATGCGATGCCCCTCTGCCTATAAAGGTTATACTAGCATTATTCTTCTTTCAGAAACAATGTTTTAAAAAAGAAACATTTAGAAACTGCCTATGACATATACATCTGAAAGTATCAAAACAGTTTTTAGCTAAATTGCTTTTGACGTAGGATTGAAACCATGCCATACCTTGATGAAAATATTAGCAAGAAATATTTTATGAATTATTTTACAGATGGTTTCTTAGTCAAGGTTTTAGTCTCAGGTGGTTTTTAGATAAATGGGCCTTTTGATTTGAGGCACAGGTTGAAGTTGAGACTTCCAAAAAATATTTTTTGATCTCTTAAACTATAGTATCTCTGATGTTGGTACACACGCTGAGGAAGAAAAACTGGCTTTTACTGCATATCTACCATGTATGCTGGGTACTTTATATATATATTACCTCTTAAATTTCAAAATAGCATTAAGAGAAAATCTACTGTCCTCAGTTACAGAAAAAGAAACTGAGGGTCGGAGAGATGCAACCACTTGCCTAAGCTCACAGAGATCGTGAGCAGTCCAGCCAGGATGTGAACGCACGGCTACGGGGCCCCCAGTGCGTGTGAGAGGCACCAGGCCCCCGCCCGCTGCTCACCTGGTGCACAAGCACATCCCCAATCCTCTCGATGAGAAAATTCTTTTCACTTCTATCCACCAGAGAGTCCTTCTTCCGCTCCAGGATCCTCTGAAAGAACTGGCTATGGATACTGATCAGCTCATCCAAACAGGGGAAGAGCTTCTCCACCATCTGCTGCTCAAAGAGCAGGTCGGCCGTCATGCCCCGGCTGTACACGTCGCTCATGATCTTCAGTGTGCGGAGATGGTGGAACTCCGTCTGCATCAGCTCTGGGGGAGGGACAAGGCTCAGTGGTCAGGAATGCTCTCCTCGAGGATTCTCCTGCAAAGTGTGTCTGCTGCTACTAAGAGCCCAATTTTGTCTTAAGGCTATTTACGGCCCAATTTAAACTTTAAAAATGAGTCAACAGCTGTCTTTTCCCTGAAGTGTTTTCATCGTATTCCTCGATTTCTCACGGGACCTCACACTATTTTCTGACAGGTGTACTGGATTCCATCACTCTTTAGTGGTGGTTGCCAAAGTGGTCTTCACTGGGATTCAAGACCTTTCATAATTTACTACGAAATGACTTGCGTTTAGTCTAGTTTATACTGTAGCTGAGGAATTAAACTGTACTGTCACAAGAGATCTCTTTTTAGGACTATCGCATAAATAAGCACTCATATTAAATAAAATGTCCAATAAAATTAAAGAATATAATTTTACAGAGAGAGTAAAGGATAGAAATAAGATGTCTCTATACCTCAAAGTTTTCAAAAGAAAATCTTTGAGATGCTACATACTTGAAAATTGACTTGCTATAGCCCAATAAATCCCCTCATAAACAATGCCAGACAATGCAAATCAAATATTAGCAGAGCACATGAAGAGTCTCACCATAAATCACTTCTTGCCGTTTGACCACATCTTTCTTTTGCTGTTTCAGAAACTTGCTGTCCACGATCTGACTCCAGGACTCTGCTTCCAGCTGTCTGGACTCAATCTCAAAGTCTCCCATTAGCTGCCCTTCATTCATGTCTGTACCTACTCCTCAAAATACAAAAAGAATCAATATCAGAATCCTGCGTCTGTGACCTCTAAAAAAAACCTCTGCTGGACGTTCCTCATGGGGATAATTTCATGAGACGTAAACACTCTACACTAATACAGGGATGTTCATAGAATATATATTCTATTAGAAAAGATCATTTTCTGTTCCGGAGTGACATACTCTATATTCAAGACTTCGGTTATGGGTGATAAATGTCACATACATCAAAGGTGATTAAGACATGATCAGGGTCCTGGTGACTTTACTTGTTTAAGAGAGTAGGCTTACAGCTGTGCCAAGAGAGCTAGAACTGAACGTGTACAAAATCTGGGGGAAGAAGAAGCGTTTGTACCAGAGTCTGACCACATTAAAATCAATGACATCCTTCGGTGGACAACCATCTAACAACAGGATAAGTGGGTTTACCAACTCCTTATAAAGCATGTGATGCTTTAAAGACAGTTCAGAGAAGTTTCACAGGAGTAAGGAAGAGGCAGGAGATGCGTTAGTGCTTGCATTCTAGGAGATGGCACAAAGTCTCTGCAGACGCACACAATACACGCCGTGGCTTCCGCTTACCCTCATCAGTAAGGGACTCTGTTGACTCATTGACCTTGCTGATTTTATTTAGTGAGTCTGTTGAATGAGACAGGAATTTCCAGGTGTTTGATATGTTTTCATCATTGACAACTCTGTGGGAAAAAGGAAACACATACTGTCAGATACATTCTGAGAAGCCATAGTTTCCGGTCTTAAGTGAAGATCTGAAAAACTATAAAATGACAGCTGGCTGCAAGTACTACAATGATGGAAGACAAATCACTTATGTCAGGTACCCAGCAATATGCAACACAAACTATTAAGGAAGGTTGGAGGCACTTAACATCACTGCAAGCATGAACTTTTTGAGCCTTGGGGTTTTTTTAACGATAGGTAGCAAGGAGAATGCTCTTCCTTCAAACTGCATACACATTATGTAAGAAATTTTTCTGTTGGAAACTCATGTCTAACCACTACACTTTTTCCCTGTGTTCCCTAAATAACTATAGACCAAGCACTTACATTAAACCATATTCTTCGAACTTTTCTTGACCCCAACTCACCAGCTAGCACGTTAGGCACCCAGTAGATGATGTTTGTGGTACAACAAAAGTAAGCCAGAGTCATTTAAAAACTAAATTTTATTTAAAGGCCAACTTTTCAAAGTCATAATAGATACTCATTTGGATAACATAAGAACTTGGAAAAGAAAGCCTTTGGTTAATTACAACAGAAAGACAAAACAATATAAAAATACCTGGGACTTTTTATTTTTAAGGAGGAGGAAACATTAGCCAGCACAGAGGTTATAGGAAGCACAGACAAAAGGAGATTTGCATCCTTCAGTTGGGAATTTTCCTCCAGCCTAGGTTAAGAGAGCTGCAAGAGATGTTTTGAGTCCTACATTTGAGATGACTTCTTTACTGGATGGGAAGGCAGGCATCTTACCCCAAACAGCCAGCAACATCATAATCGGCCCTGTGCTAATTACAGACAGCCGAGGCCTGAACAATCAGGGGCCACAGCAACTTCTGGAGGGACCACAAAAGGAACTCAGTGCAGATGAGGGACGGGGAACCTACTGTCGTACCTGGCCCATTATTCACTCCCATGACTTAAGAGTCAAGAGGCGAGTTAAAAAAAACAAAAGAAAAGAAAAGAAAAGAAAAAAGCGAAACAAAACAAAGTGACCCCCTCCCCCCAGGTTCATCTGACCAACAGAAAAGACCAACAGACATATGAAAATACAAGTGATTGAAACCAAACATTCAGAATTAAATCTTTTTTCCTATTCCCACTTCTTATTTTGATCTGAAAATCATCCTTTTAGAAGGCAGGTTCTTTAAAAGCAGGGCTGATCATGTATAAAAGCAGAGGACAACTGGCCTAAAAATGGTGTTTAAAGGGGATCCTTGCTACAAAATGGCGACCATGATGGTGCATCAAAGTGTAATCCTCACCCCACTCATCTGTAGCACTAACCCATTACGTTATACATTTCTTTCTAAAACAATCTTTTTGTCAAATGGTATAAATTATTATGCTCTGTCACCTAGATGTCAACTGTGCTAGCTTTACATCCCCACTCACCCAGCAATGTTCTGAATGGAGACACTTTTGGAGAGCGACACACTCTGCTGGGACCGTCTGTTGGCAAACATGGGGACGGCAGTGGTTTCATCGGCCAGGAGGACTGCAGACCGAGGGCGCTCCTTGGGCTGGGAGGCTGTAAAGAAGGAAAGGACACCAAATGAAGTATCACCGACACATGCCCACCGGCACTGGCTCACCTGATGAATGCCAGATAGAAGCAAACTGCTTTAAAGGAGATTTACCCTGGGAGTGTAAATAGGTACAAAAACCCTATGGAAGACAACTTGGCAACAGCTGTTGAAACGGTAAATGCCTATATCTTTGACCCAGTAATTCCATTTAGGATATGTTTATTCTACAAGATTTACTTGTTTATATTTGAAATGATGTATGTCCAAAGTTATTCAATGCAAAGTTTGGTAGAAGCAAAATGAGTATCAAAAGAAGATCAGTTAATAAATCATGGTACAGCCTACATGGGAATAGTATGAAGCTTTTAAAAAAAATGAGGACACTCTCCATGAACTGACACAGATCGGCAGATAACACATTAAGGGGGAAAAAAATCAAGGTGCAGAATAAAGTGTGCAACACACCACCTTCTATGTTTTAAAAACATAATCAATAATCCAAATTGGTACTTGCTTTATTTTAATAAAGAAACTTAAGGAAGATAAATATAAAACTAAGAAAAGTGGTTTACCTGTATGGTGTGATGGCAATGAGGCAATGAGGATAAAGAATCGTGTGAAAGTATCATATATTTAAAAATTTAAACTAAGTCAAAGTAAGAGAAAAGGAGACCGAAAGAATTTTAAGGATAAAAGGAGCCTCAGAGATAACTGAGGCTGGTGTTCTTTGGGAGGACCTACCAAGAAACGTGTCAGGGGCTGGTTAGATATGCAAATTCCCAGCCCTCCTCGTTCTGTGCGGGTGGGACCTGGGAGCCTACACATTTACCAGCTCCCCAAGAGATTCTTCTGTACAACGTCTGAGAACACAGGTTTTGACCAATTCCGTTAATTTACAGATGAGGAAAATGCAACATGTGTTTGATGTCACATAGCTAATTTGTCCTCATACTGCGTATTTCTCTTGAACTTGACCAAAGAGCAAACTGGAGGTCTAACTTCATGCTAAAGTAGTCACACTGCCATCGGGGTAGCAAATTATTTCTCCTAGGTAGCTAACTAAACTGCTGCATTACCTGTCCATCCCCAGGAGCATCAGGAGCTGAAGGAAATAAGACCGGGGCAGCTGTTATGGCTTCACAGTATTACAGGATGTTTCTGACTTAATAAAATTAATAAAACCATTAATTTCCAATTCAAATTCTATTTAGAAGAAGGCGATATAATGAACACCAGAAACATGCTACCCTATAACACGACCAGACCCTTCCTGCAGGAAGCACACAGGAAACTAGGAGATGTGGGTCCCACAGCAACAGGGAAGAAGGGCAACTGGCAGGGAAGAGAACATGCTCAAGTGTTCAAGAGCCTGGAGCACATCCTCAGTGTCTCAGAAGGGAAGCTGCTGAGCAGATAAAATCTGATGGAGGAAGAAACACCGGTTCTTGAAGAACAGTAGCATGTGGGTAAGTCAGCAGAAAAAGAGGACATTCTGATGAGGAGAACTGCATGAAGGAAGGCAGAAACACTCTATTAATGTGACAGGGAGATAACAAGCAGAAGAGGAAGTAAGTAGAGGGGTGTATATAAGGGATCAGTGAAACGGCCGGAGAAGCAGAACGATGTCACGTCATGCAGAGCCCTGAAAATTATAAAGAACCACCTGCATCTAAAAGGCAGCGTACGGGGGTGCAAACAACAACTTTCCCTTGTTGAAACCAATCCACTGCACTCAGGGAAGTTGCTAACTACTCTCTGAGCCTCAGCATCCTTATTTGTGATGGTGATGGTAGTGGTGAAAGCAAACACTGAAGGAGGCCTCTCACCAAGTACTTCATTGGTGTGATCTCACTTAAACCCGATGACCACCTGCCGATACTATTACCATCCTTCCACAGAGGAGGAAAATGACGTACAGGGGACTTAGTAAACGTCCGAGGTTACACGGCTGTTAAGTGGGATGCTGGGACTCAAACCCATCCAACTTGAATCCACAATCTGTACTCTTACCGCTACGTTACCTCAGGAATTAAAAGGGGAAAACAGGAATAAGAATACATGTGGGGGTCAGACATAATTGGTAATTTTTTTTGAAAAATGCTATTTTATCTGATTTGAAAGAGAAAAAAGGTTTCTGAAATAAGGGATAATGTCACAGAACAAAAGTTTAAGGAAGATTAGACTTGTAAAAGGTGTTGGAATGGGTTGGATCACTGGTTAAGGTGGGTGACAGTCTGGCACAACTTTTCTTCTAGGAATCCACATGCAAAGACGGGCAATAATTGGACGTCTATCTAAAGGGACTCCACACCCTCCTGGTGGCACAGTCTCTACAGCCATTCCGGGGCCATCTGGAAGCACTCAGAGCAGTCGGGCACAGAGCAGTGGTCCTCAAGCTCGAGTGTGTGCATCACCATCACCTGGAGCATCTACTAAAACACAGATCACTGGGCTCCGCCTCTGGAATCTCTGAGGTAGTAGGTCTGGGTAGGGCCCAAGAATTGGCACTTCTAATTGATCCAGGATCTACACTTTGAAAAACACGGCCTGAGGGTAAGTTTCACATGGGCTCACATAGAGCAAGTTTAGGTGATATTCATTACTGCATCTTTATGGCAGGAGTTGGAAACAACTCAGACAACTGTCTTTGGGGGAACTGATAATTAAAATGTGGTATATATTTATGAAAGAACACCATGCAGCGATCTGAGACAATAGCTTACATATAGTAACACGTATAGATCACCATACTGAGTGGGAAAAAACCCAGCAGAATGGATAAGCAAGTCATATCATCTAATTTAAATTTAACGCACAAAATCATAAGAGATATTTCCAGAGGTACACATATGTCTAAAGATATGGCAGATCAGAGAGGTTTACAGTAAATATACTGCAGTGCGTGCTGAGGGAGGGAAAGGAATGAGATAGGGAATGAAGAATGAAAAGGGGAAAATATTAAGTAAAACCAAAGTGAAGCTTTGCACAGACTGGAGAAGACAGATTGATGTGAATGGGAGAGGTGTGATTTACCCAATTTGTGTACCACTGAAGTCCTTGGGGAAAAAAAGAACTATTTTCGTAACTCCACAGTTTGTCAAGAAGTTTAAGAAGCAAGATCTCATGTGATGCAACTGTAATGCTGCTAAAAGCAAGTTTCACTGTCGACCAATGCAAGAGAAATTTCAAGACACACAGGGTTAAGGTGCTGCCTTTTAAGCTAAGACACACACTATTCTAGAACCTTCCAGAGAGTTTGATGGTAGAATGGTAAGCTTTTGGTCAATGAAACTGCAGCCTTCTCTAAGTATTCAAAATAGGTTTTCAAATCTTGCTTAAGAATAACAAATAAATACTACAGAAGTATGGGTAAGTCCTGAACCAGAGAGGCGAAAAGGAATCATGAGAGGTGGGCTGAGCTACTTACACTTGTTTCTCATAATGACCGTGGGTAGCGAAGATGTGTCATGGGCTTGAAGGCTCCCTTTGGGCTGCTGAAAGGAAAAGAAAGCCTGAGTGAACACTGCATTTACAATTTATCTTCTGTCAAGTTTCAAGTTTCTGCTCCTACTTCCCCGCTCTGTTCCTGCCAACGGTCCTCAGCACCCTAGGCCTAGCTACATCACCCACTCTGGCTCTCCTCTGAAACCGCCAAGCACTCTGATCCTGCAAATGCCATCTCTTTTGCCTGGAATGCTCTCTTCACCGTCACAGGCACGGCATTCTTCTATTTCAAGATAATCCCTCCTTGGCAGAGCCGTCTGTTAGCTTCTTTCTTCTCCTCACCCGAGGCAGAGACTGGCACCCCTCAGGATCCTGCATGTGTCCCCGCCTAGCTTTTTCCTTACTTATGGTCATCGTCTGCTTGTCCATCTTCCCCACCAGAATGCTGGCTCCTTTAAGAGCGGCATCTGTGCCCTTTTCGTTTCTATTTCTCCAGTGACTCGCATTTATAAGGTGTCAAATAATTCTTAGGTAAAGTGCTAATTTTAAGACCTTTGTTGTAGCATGGAACAGAGACACTGTGAGAAATTACAGACTGAAGCAATTAGTTTGAGATAAATCATTAGTGAAAAAGGGTCCATTTAAAATGAAACTCCCCCTTTCAGGTTACATTCTTTTCTATGGGATATGCTGTATCCCTATCATTCTCCTTCTCTATAGCACATTCACAGTAACAGCAGTCTTACCAGAGATCACAAACTCAAATGCCTGTGGGGTCAGGCAGGTAACAAAGGACAGAGGCGAGTTGGAGGAGGGGGGGAGTGGCAGTCTGGGGCTTGTACATCTTGTCTAGAGGAGGCAGCAGCCACTCAGCCCCAGTGGATTATCACCCACCACCCACCTCTCTAACATTGAAGGAACTCCAGGCCAGATACTGTTCTACGTGCTTAGGAGCTATTGATGGATCAAACAGTCCTGACTTCAGACTGCTTGGCAAGTTTAGTGCTTACATTCTAGTGGGGGGAAGGTACAGACCATAAAAAGTAAATGTAATATAATAATACATACAGTGTGTTAAGTAGACCCTAAGAAGGTGGTAAGTACTATGGAAAAAAAAGAAAAAGAGCAAGGTGGGAATTGGGAATGCTGGGTAAGGGGAAATACCACGGCTGTGAGGTCTTCCATTTCTTCAGGAGAAATCCGAAATCCAAATTGGTGTGAAATACGATTTTTCTACAGATACACTAACTCAAATAAAAAAAAATTACTCCATGAGCCAAACAAAATTTATGTCCACGGACTGAATAAGATCTGGGGTACAGAGGTCTGTCATCTTTACACTAGAGTTCAGTGCTTCTCCAAGTGTGGTCCTCGGACTAGCAGTATTAGCATCATCTGGGAACTTACTAGAAGGAAAGTTTCTGGCCCCTCCCCACCCGCCAAATTGGAAACTCTGGGAGTGGGGCCCAGTGTCATCTTATAACAAGCCCCCAAGGTGATTCTAATGCACACTCCAGTTTGAGGCCACTGCACTAGATAAATGCGTTTGGTTATTGGAAGCACACAGCATGCTGAGCATTTGTGTAGATGGAGCTGGAGAGCACTCTTCTGACAAGGAACAAAGACATTCATGAGTGACTACAACACTGAAAACCACACAGGCCGCCTAAACGCCCATCTGCCTCCAGCCCCGTATCTTCCTTAAGGGCAGTGCCTGTTATCACACAGCTGCATACTCAGAGCACGTACCATCATACACTTCCTGCTCCTGTCATGTGATCCACACAAGCCTGTGGAGCAAAGTGCTGCCACACAGGCCCGTTTAACCCTGACACTCCCCAGCCCATCAGCATGTCAGAGCCCCTGATTTCCACCTGCTGCCCTCATGGTCCTGAAGAAGGAAGCCAGGCGTGTGAAAGGCAGAGGAGGTCTGCAGACACAGTTAAGAAGAAAACCACTTCAACGGCGACACACATTAAAATCACAGAGAAATGGGCATTTCACATGGAGCAGTTCTGAAAGCATTTCACCTTCCAAAAGCCACAAATTCCCGAGTGTGTTAAGAAGAGAAAAATCATTTTTGGTTATTTGAGTCTCAAAGTAGTCATTTCATCAAAATGATGAAAATAAACAAAAACTACAACCCCAAATCTCCCAACTCTGAAGATTTTATTGGTTTAGCCAGAAATGTCTTACCTTCATTTTGACCTTTGCACAGGAGGCCAGACATTCTCTACAGCCTTTGTGGACAAAAGCACCACAATCTGAAAAGAGAGCAAAACCCCAGGTGACATTAATACACAGCAAACAGATCCCCCAGACTGATTTTCCATTGCCACAGCAAGCGACAGACTGCCAGGTGAAGTCGCTCACACGTGAGAATGTGACTAGCCGAAATTACAGATTGCAGCCCTCTTCTAGGAAGCAGGCATGCGATGTCATTTGGAGGAGGAGAAACAAGAGCAGATGTGATTTCTGATTAATAAAGACCAGAAATCTGAAACTTCTCGGGCAGGAAGCTGAGAGGCTACAAAACTACAAGTGAAGCATCTGCTGTCAATATGTAGGTCTAAGTCACAAATAAGACACAAATGGTGTGTATTTACATATACAGACATTTACATACACCTCGAGTAACACCCACAAACAATACATAAATACAGCCCCTTAACAGGGGCTGTGAAATGTGTATGGCTGTGTCAAAGGTGGAATGTGAATGTGAAAATCTACCGCTTTATGTCCTTCGACTTGCAAACCTAACTACCCTGAACTTTTTGCAACACCCCAAGCGAGTCAACAACTGCAGAAGAAAGGTCATCAGAACCACCACCCTAAAGCACCTCTGGGAGCCCTGACTCAAGAGAAAGTGGGAGACTTCCTGAATGATGAACAGAGATTTACCGCAAGATGAAACACAGCCCATAATCCTGCAAGGACGCGAGTGTATTTCAACTCTTACTTCTCACTCCTTGGCCCATAAGGGCCACTGCTATATAAACCCCGCCCTCTGTGCCTCACAAAAGGGTCATCATCAGCTTGTACTATGATGTCATAAGAATGGTTCCAGGAGGCCAGAGGTGAAGTAAAACAAATACAAGAGCTGTCTGTGGGGACACCCCATGATGAGCATCTCTCCAGGGAAGGACTGCCTGAGAAAATCAACAGATACCACCCATCAGGCAACGCTTCACACCCTGATTCACGAAGCACCACGGGTCCTGCCTATGGTAACCCACGAATCACGGGCCAGGATGCTCTCCTGGTTCCTACGTACGGATTACGAGGATACTAGAATGGAGACGGCCAGAACCCCAGGCGCTTTTCCCCATTCCTCCCTCAATGCCTACTCGGTTCACAGGTCTCTTCCCTGACACCACCAGTCACAATGCGTTGGATAATCTTATGGTTTTCTCCTCCACTGAGCGCTCCTCTAGGGTAGGGTCCCTTCATCTACTGCCGAATCCTTAATTAGGTCTCCCTAGCATAATGCCTGGCTCATGCCACCTACTCAAACGTCTGTTGGAGATCTTACGTCTATTTTATCCAAAAGCCAAGTGCCCTGACACAACCTAGATTACAGTATGTCAAATATCTTATCAACACTAAAAGGAGTACTAGAAGAACAGCCATCACACTAAATGTGATTTAGGTCCTGGCTCTCCTAATTAGTTAATGGTACCCTATGCAAGTTCCTTCTCTATAGGCCTCAGTTTCCTCAGACCTATAAAATGAAAGGAAGTACCACATCTTCCCCTCCCAAGTTCCTTTTCTCTGTGATCCTATAAGACTCCTTATGCTACATCTCTTGAAGAAAGAGATAATTTTCCAAGTAAATCCACTAGATTGTTCTATAAGGTTCACGTTGCAGAAGAGTTTTCAACTTAGTCATCTGAATTATCACTAGGACAGACCCATCCTTCAGGGCATGGTTAGGGAAAGTTCCAAGTGGAGAAATCTTGGCTGAAGCTATTTCCATAAAAGAGGCGATAGGGAGCAACTCTACTTTTGTTGACAGGATGGCCCAGAGCGGGAACTTGTCTGGAAGTGGGGTGGGGTGAAGTCTTCTGGGCCTTTTACTCTCAGGCCTACCAAGCCTTCTATCTAGCTAAGCTCTTCTAGCTCCACCCTAAGTGAAATTCACTGTCTGGTCATTTTTCTGAAGTTAAACAATCAGAAGAGACATCCATTTACCAACGGCAGCACGAGGAGAGACTCTCCTGGGAAAGGCTCACTCAGGGAATCAACAAGAGGAAAAAACCTGGAAGGCTTTATCTCAGTCACAGCTCTGTTCTTACTTCCATTGTTTTCTTCTCCGGGAGAAGACTGCAAGGGAGCATATGGATGCTCTGCTCCCTGCAATTTCTACTGTTTGGGATCATGACCATTTCCACATAGGTCGTGAAACTGTTCCAGAAGTCAGCAGCTATAAAAGGGTTATGTATCATTGAATATTAATGCCAGGGTTTCTCAGCAACATCCCCTTCTGGGCACAAGGAAGGCTCTGCAGAAAGAGACCCCTGGGGAGTGACTCATTCTAATCAGCAAAAGGAAACATTTTGAGGATATTTTTCTCAAGGACCGGAAACCACTGGCCCTCATTAAACTGTCTAGTTCTCTGCTACTTGAAAATAAGGACACATTTTGATAAAGAAATCCTCTTACTACTCAGAGAAAAAAGCAGAATCACAAATAGAAATCCACATTAACTCTGAGATGCCAATGCTGTTATGCCCTTCTATACATCAGGCAATGTAATTCATATTCCAGGATCTAGACTTGGTGAACTTTGGCTAAAGACTTTAAGCCCCACTAGCCAATGGTCTTCCAGAAAGGGTCAAAGAGGCAACAGGTGGGCTGGACCGTTTGCCTTGATTGATTTGTATTCAAAACTTTTTGCCTCTCACTTCTCAGAAACGTTTTTAATGGCTCCCCATCATCTTTAGGATAAAGCCCAAACTTCTTACTTAGCTTGACATGGCCCATCACGTGCTGTATACATTTCTAGCCCCTTGCCATGTTCTGTCACACCTCTGAGCTCTGAACAAACTGTTTCCTGTACTTGTGTCCCTTTCCCTCTCTTCCTTCCCTGACTAGGTTGGCAGGACTCAGCTCTGTGGAGTCTTCTCTGACTCTCGCAGGGAAGATAAGACTCCCCACCTCTATGCTTCTGGAATTCCATGCTTTCCTCTGTCATAGTACTGTACTGTGATGGCCATACTCTTCCACTGGGCAGAAAACTCCTGCAGGGAGTCTAACTCTGTCTTTCTAAATTTTATATCCCTAGCCTCAGCCTCAGGCCCACAGTAAGCACTAGATGTCTGAAGGAGGGAGAGGGGTGGGCAGGTGAGCTCCAAGCTGCTAGACCCACAGCATGAAGTATAACAAAGTAGTTAAGGCAAACATCTATATTCATCTTCTAGTAAGACAGAACGTGTTTTCCCCCCGTATCGGCCCCACTATCCTTACTCAGGGTACATGTCTCCCCTCCCCTGCTACACAGATGCCTGGGACCCCGGAGTGGTCTTGTTGATCCATCATCTCTTTCTCATGCACAGGCTTTCCAGCTCCCCTCCCTATCTTTTCCCTCTGTCTTTCACATACATCTTCTTTAATCCCATTCTTCCTTACCCTCTCTTGAGTCTTGCCTAGGTACCCTAGGAGAACCTCTTCTTCACTCCATTTTACTTAAACAAAATATACTTTAAAACATGGGTGATAAGAATATAAGGAAAACTAATGAATTCATATCATGGACAAAAAAAAGCCCACATTTTGAAATGGAATTAAAGGTAGTGCCATATCCAACAACACCATCTTAAAAATGTTTAAAACTCCTCATAAAACAATAAGACAAAGAACCAAACAGAAAAACAATACAAAGACTATGAACAGGCAATTCACAAGAAACACAAAATGGTGCTCAAGCTCTCTAGAAATTAGAGAAATGCAAGCTCAAACAACATAGAAATATCATTTCACATCCAACCAGATTGGCCAAAATAAAAGTCTGCCAGTTCTAGGTACTGGTGAGGATATGGTGATGCAGGAGCTCGCACCATCTGCCGATGGACGGTACATCCACTTTGGAAAGTAATTAGGCAACATCTAGTAAAGGTAAAAACGTGCTCACGCAATGAATTAGCAATTCCCTTCTTGGTATATAGCCTGGTGATACACACAAGTACAATTAAGGATGTTCCCCGCGGCACTGTAACAGACAGAAATTGGAAATAACCCAAATGACTTAGCAGTGGAACAGATTTGATATATTCAAAAATGAAATACCATATAAGAGTTAGAAGTCAATAATCTAGATCCATGTGTTTCAATACCCTGTCTGGATCCCCCAAATATGATGCTGAGGAGAATAAAGCAAGTTACAGAATGAGATACACTGTATGGTACCACTTAAATAAACTAAAAACAACAAAAAATTTTTTTGATATTATTTATATATAAGATAGTTAATAAAACACTGGCTACATACACACTGAATTCATGATAGTGTTTGTCTTGAGGAGGAAGGAAGAGGAATGGGATTAGGCAGGGAAACAGGGGAATTCAACCTTAACTATAATGGTTTATTTCTTCAAAACTGAAAAATAATCTAAAGTAATATGACAAAATGTTACTTTTTTTTCATCTTGAGTAATGGGCACATAGGTGTTGGTTGTGTTATCCATGCACTATTTTATATTAGTGTGTTCTTTTTTAAAACCCAAATTCTAATTCCTTCAAAGTTCCCTGAATTTGCTTATCTTTTAAAACAAATATAAAACAATTTTCAATTAGATTTTATTATCTTATATTCCAGTTAAAAAACAGCATTTTCTCCTTTGCTGTAATGAAAATCGGTATTTTAGGCATGAATGGGCAACACAGGGTGGTGGATTTGCTTGAGAACTTGCCACTAATTCTGATCTACAAAAATGACCAACTAGTACACCGTGGACAGAACTTGCTTTCAAGTTGCATTCTTCCTGTTTCTTTCCTCCCCATCAGTTCCATCACCCTGTAGAGAATTAAACAGTGGGAAAGGTACAATCACTTTTAAACAGACTTTGGCAATATTCAAGTTCTCAGGCCAGTGTTTGAGATTTAAAAGACAACTGCAATTGATGAATCATAAAAGCAGAAGTAATATTTAAAATGCACTTCTGGTAAACAAATTTTCATACAAATCCACTTTAGTTAACTGAGACATGTCCCCAAACCCACAACCCAGCTGAAAATTTTAATATACTTTATTAACATGGTCACAAGT